CAAATATGGTTTGAATGAGGCGTTCTCTTCATGTCCTGGAAAATTAATTTTTAAAAAAGCACAATGAATTTACACAGGAAAGAAACCACACTAGAAACCCAACAGGCTGGCGGAGACACAGTACTTCTCTAGAGCAGGCTGCCTTCCTAGGGAAGAACAACTTTGCATGCCGCCCCCCCCCCTTAAACTGTAACTCTCGGTGCCCTCAGACTCGCATACCATTCGCGGCAACAGTGATAGCTAGAGATTTAAATAAATAATTCAGTACTTAAATCAGAGGCTAAACATCGCGATTAATCGGAAGATATTGTGCTGCTAAAATAATCTAGCGCAAACCAACCCGGGTCTGGGCTTCTACCGCACTTTTCTTCTCGCTCCCTGCAGTTTTCCCTGCCTCTCCGAGCCCCGGTGATGGTAAGAGGCAGTGACAAGGGGACAAACAGAGGCAAACTGGCTTTTTTCCATGAAGTATTACAATAGCCTGGGTTTGCATTCGGAAGTACAGACATGCATGCAACAAAACTTCCAGATGGCAGAAAATAGTGACAAAACTTTCTTCAGGAAAAGGGGTGTTACCCAGAATAGGTGCCCATATTCCTGACTTGAGAGAAGTGAAAGCACTAGTGATTAATTTACCGTCTGATGGAGCTATTTTGTATTGTTTTACAGAGTAAATAATCGCTTAATAATCATTTGCTTATTATGACGCATCCACAAACTAGCTTTAAGACAATTTTTGTCTACTTATTCCTCACTATATTTTAAGGTTGTAAATAGCAAGATGCAATTTAACAGTCAAATTTACTATTCCCATCATCTTCCCACCCCATTTTCTAATGGGAATATACTACTTAAAAAAAAAAAAAAAACCCTATAGCGATCCTAAAAGGCAAAACCCAAGCGCGGAGTTACTGGAAGAAGAAACCGGGGTTAAAAAGATTCCTCCTCTCTTCTTCATCATCATCAACCATCATTCATTCACTACCTTGACATTCCCTGGCTTTGATTGACAGCTGGAGTGGCAAAAAGCCATGAGACACGACAGTTTGGTTACATGTGGGTTGCTGACGGGCCGATCGTAACCTTCAGTTTGGGGGCTTGACAATTTTTTTTTTTTTTTTGCGTAGAGAAAGAAAAAAGGAAAAAGAGAGAGAGAAACAGAAAAAGGAAAGAGAGAAAGAGAGAGAAAAAAGAAGAAATATCCAGAAACTCATCGTGGTTCTTGACTGTTTTTTATATATTATTATTATTGTTATTGTTGTTATTATTATTATTATTTACCCATATTGGAGGATAGGAGAAGTCTATAAGTGGGTTGCAAAAAAAAAAAAAGGAATCTTCTTCACTCTAAATCACTTTCTTTGCTGGACTGGGATATTAAATATACGACACATCCAGGAGTTTATTGGAGCGCAGACTGATGGCGCAAAGGGTAGGTTTAAATCTCCAACACTTACCTATATATAAATCCTCTCTTAAGAGGGGCCTGTCCGATTTGCTCTCCTCTGTTGCTGATGATGATGGCGGCCACTATTAAAAAATAGCAGCAAAAATTATTCACTAGCTTTTTGTGTGTGTGTGAGAGTGTCTCTGTGTGTGTGTCTCTCTCTGCAATTGTTCCACGCTTTTTTCCTCTCCAGCTTTTCCCCCAGCAGCGCGATTTCCCTGCTCTCTAGCTGCTCAGTAGCACGGGTTTCACAGGGGAAAGCTGCTGCTGCTGCTGCCGTTGCCGCTGCTGCCTAGGAAAGACTAGGAAATACATATGTGTGTGTGTATATATACGAATGTATATATATGTATACATATATAGCTTCTTGTTTTTTCTCTGGCTTTTGACAAGAACGAGGGGAATTGCTACTAAATAATGTTTCTGGTAACTTTCAGATTATTTCCCCCTTTATCTCCCCTCCTCCGATGCACCCTACCTTTCCTCTCTGTTTCCCAGTGTCGTTTTATTTATATAGTTGCTTTCGATTCTGCTTATTTATTCGTTTATATTTATTTTTTGTCCTTCCATTCCAATTCAGAGTAACTCTAGTTTCTCTCCTCCGTTTCCTTCCTTTTCATCCCGGTTTCCTTGTTAGGGTTTCTCCTTCCCCTGCCGAAGCGGACCGTCTCCCCCCGCACACACACGCAGACACACACACTTTCCCCCTTTACCTCTCCTGACACCCCCGCTCCCCCCTCAGCCTCTCCAGCCGCTGCTCCTGGTCCCAGTTGATTTCAGTTTGCACATTTCCCCCCCTGTTGTGGCTGTTCTTGTTTTGTTTTGCTCTGTTCGTGTCTGTCTGGGTGCTTTACTCTCTTCTGACTTTTGTTGTTGTTTGTTTGGTTGGGTTTTTATTATTATTATTATTATTATTATTATTATTATTCCTCTTTCTCTTTCTCTTCCCCTCTCTCTTTCTCTCGCTCTCTTCTCTTCCGGCCCGTTTTTTGACAGTACGATGAGCTGCCCCACTACGGCGGGGTGGGCGGAGGAGGGGGGC